ATATCGGGATACATCGTATTGTGACCCCTCTGTCATGATATGTATCGTATCGCCAAATTCTTGCCAATACACAGCCCTACTCCTTGTGTAACTGAGTGTTGGAGCCCTGGTTTAGGTGCTTCCCCAAATTGTATGTTATCATGGTGTATGTAATTAAAAAGCATCACATGCACAATAATGTTAAGGTAAAGCATTTAAATATTGGTCAGAGTTGTTTCCCGCATAATTTAAAGTGAAGAGTTAATGTTAAATAGTGTCAGCAGGTGTATAAACAAACACAACCAACATGTTTAGAATAAAAATGCCTGCACGTAACTATAAATCTCATTATGCTCTTGTCGTAATTACACAGTCATCCAATTATTTGACAATGATACGCTGGCGTTTTTAAATTATTACCTCAATTCAGAGACTGCCGAGTTGTGACGGGACTTGAGAAACAGATGCTCGGCGTCAGCGTTATTTTCCAAGACTGACCACAGAAACAGGTCCGCGATAATTAGGACAACCTGACAGTCGCACTGCTGAAAACACAGCGTGACTCCAGCAGAACTCACTGCTTCGGTCGCAGGTTGATCGGGCTCCGAGCGTGCATCACTAGCGTTGCAAATCGGTGTGCAGATGGAGGAAGAGATGTGAGATTTGCGCCCAGCTGTAGTAATAGGTACAAACAAGTTTACAGATGGAGCAAACATATGTAGAAGTACACAATACAGGGGGATGTGGAGGTGCAGACTGTTGGCTAATCCTGTTTATGAAACCTGCTGCCATCGTAACAATCTGCAAACAAACATTAGATTTAAGACAAATAGAAACAAGATGTTTTACAAAATGTTGCGCTGCAAATGCATTTGTTTAAATTAATTAGGTGCAGCTTTGTAGGGTTTTTGTTGTCGATGCCAATTAGCGAAAAGTTAGATGTATTGTGTTTTTCCATTAAATTTTGTGTCGGTTTCCCTCAGCGCAAGGTTTTCCTTTACATTCAGTTCCAATGTGGACAAAATCAGCTGTTTATCATTTCAGCTATGTGTGAAGCTGCAGTGACTCATTATATTACATTGATTTTCAGATAYCTTTTACCCAAAGGGACTTGGAAGCAAAGGGGTGGAAAAGAGTGGCTCTTTCACTGAACGACTTTGTGACTTTTGTCTTCAGAAAGATGAGTGACTCTTGATCATAATGAGTGGAGGGAAAATGAAACATTCATTAGTTGTGCACAATATGCAGTCTTTGCACACAGTTAGATGCATGTTGTAAATTGCACGCTGGATTTTAGCTGACAGGATAAAACAAAAAGATTGTCTTAATAGTCTCTAGAGTTGTTTTAAGGTCTTCAGGGTTTTATCATACTGTAACTGTGCCAGCCCCCCAAAATAACACAACTATCAGAGATGAATTTATCATATAACCTATAATAGAAAACTAAAAATAGCACAGCCTTACCACACACTGCTCTGTGTAATAGAAAGGTGCTGATTGTGACAGAAAAGCTGGGATAACAACCAGTGAAGTGAGTCAACTAATAAAGCTACTTGTTGCAAATGATAATGACAACTTGTCAAAAATATATATAAATTGATGAAGTAGAAACAAATCTAGTGGGAACTTCTTTTCTTATTAATAGTTAATGAGTCCTTAAATTAAAATATTGTTAGCAAAATTTGTAAATGGCTGGATTAGATTAAATTAAAATTGATAGAAAAATAAATTTCTTTATTGAAATAATCAAATGAATTGAAAATAGGTCAACAACGGCAGCAGCCATGGAAGAGCCATTTGGAATCAATGTGTGGCATCTTTTGTGTGTTATTTTCCACTCAGATTGGTTAAGTTTGCATCTACATGGTTATCTGGTGATACGGCTAAGTGCTTTGTTTACATTGAATGCATACCCCCATTTTGGATTTGCAATCATATTTGGAGAACTGCTGCTATGTTTGATTTCATACTTTGCAATGAGTACTTTTAATTATTGGTGCTTTAACAAGATACATATTTTATTGTTTTTTTTTATAAGTGACTAAAGGTGCCATGAAGTGTGTAGGACTGAAAATTACATAATTAAAAATAGAAGCAGAAATATATAAAAGGCACATTAAATAAATAAATAAATGTACTAAAAATGCACCAATTTATATAAAAAATAAATTTACTTCGTCTTATAAATTAATTGATCATCAAATTCATTTTTACAACTTTGTTCTAACAAATTCAAATTACAAATAAATCGATTTTTAACGTCCACTCCTCGCAAGTCAATATTTATGAGATAATTAGAATTTTTCTGTTTTTCAAAAAAAATGAATGTCTTTGTTTTACCTTTTTCTTGTAGATGCATTTGTATTTCTTTTTTTCCCCACAAGTACAATCACAATCAATCTGCACATGGATCCTGCTCCTTCCTGTCTGTTGACCAATAGCATAGGAGCTGACCCAAGAAGGCCCGCCCACCTTTATTTGCATAATGAGGCAGAAATGCATCAAGTAAAGTAAAAACAGGAGACAGAGAAATGTAAAAGCAGCACATGGAAATAAAGACTTGTGGGGAAAAAACTATAAAAAAATTAAGACAAATGCATCTACAGGTAAACAAAAAAAAAACAAAAAAATGTATATTTTTAAAAACAGTCAAATTTAAAATGCTTGCAAAATATATAATGTGTTAGAACAAAGCTGGAAAAATAAATAACATTAGGTAAAGTTCTTCTTTTTTAATCAACTGGTGTATTTTAAGTGTGTTTATTTATTAGGCCATTTATATATTTCTGCTTTTATTTTTAATTGTCAGCTTCAGTCCTCCATGGGGAAAAGGTTAGTTTGGAGCATGTTTACTGTTTTTAATGGTAAACTTTTTTGTTTTACTGTTTTAAAAACATCAATAAATCTCAGATTGAACTTAGTAAATGCTCATTGTTTGAAACCTCAGCCTAAACTATAACSTGCTTATTACTGTTACACTGTTGTCATTTGATTTCCTGTGTTGATAAATCATCCCCTTAACCTTCAGTTTGTGTGCAGTCACTTTCAGTTTCTTCTAGAAAATCCATTTGCCCCCTCCTGTTTAGTTTCTACGTTCTAACCCATCACATATAATTGGCTCCTTATGTCCTCGTTTTCKTATCCGTTGTTCTGCTACGTTCTTATCTCTGGAGTGTTTCTGTCTCCCTCTGCAGCCCATTAAGAACGCTCCAGCAGGGAAGAAGTACGTTCGCTGCCCCTGCAACTGTCTTCTCATCTGCAAAGTCACTTCTCAGAGGATTGCCTGTCCCCGACCATACTGGTAAGAACCGTAGTGTTTGTCTGCAGGAGCGCAGCAGCATTGTGTCCTGCTTTTAAGGAGAGGAATGAGGCAGAGGAAGCGAGCTGCAGCTGGAGCAGCAGCCCCTCAATTAAGTCTGTGCTCCCGGCACATGTGGAGCTYGGTGAGCCGGATAAGGAAATAACACCCTCATTAGAACAACTACATCAGGATTTTTTTATTTTTTTTGCTTCTGCTTGACAAGCATTGTGAGAAATGTGTCTGTGTGGATATTAGGTTGTTGTTTACTGTTTGAATGGAGTGTGTTTTAGTCTATAATTGATTCCATAGCGAACATTCATTTAAAAAATTTCAGGCTGCAAGACGTGACAAAAATCCGCCCGACACAGACGGATAATGAGCACACGTATTCTGGAATCAGGACACTTTTAAATCATGAGTGGAGTTTAATTAAAAAAATATATATTTTCTTTATTATAGCAGAATTTCCAACAGAATGGTAACCAATCAAATGCAATACATCAAATTGGTTCAAAATGCAATTTAAAATAACACAAACTAAATACAGTGGAGAAAAGAAACACTTTTTGTGTCGAGTTAATTTAGTTAAAACAAAAATCTGTCAGTCACAGAAAAAATATATATATTTTTCTTGGCACTTCATCAACATGAAGCTGCAGCAGGCTGGTGTTTTTTTTGGTTGGAGAGATAAATTCTGTTTATGCCCGAGGCATGAAATGTTAAATGGCAACATTTTAGGATTTATTTATTTTGTAGGGTTTTTAAACTTTTGCTGCCTAATGCGTATAAGTTGTAACTAAAAACAAAAAATCCATTGTTAATACGAGATCAGAATTTTAATGAAACTTTCAGGTTGTACAACTGATTGACTGTGAGGGTCAGCCCCATTCAAGATGGCTGCCACAGCTAAGCCACATTGGCTGGTTGCTGCAAGTTATGTCCCATGTAGACTGTAGGTCTAATCTACAGAAGACGTGTGTTTGCATGACCAGGCGCTGCCTTGTTACCATGATATGTTTTTATATTTCATCACTTCAGTTGGTTTTTCAACTTCACAAAATTCAGTTTTAATAGAAAAACACTACAAATAAATAAATACCTACTTCGCCTAATATTTTACCTAATTTCCCTCTGGGATCAATAAAGTATTTTTGAAGTGAATTGAAGTAAAAAGCATTAATAATTTGGGCTTAGCTCCAGTATCAGTATTTGTAACTTCATTTTATTTAACATCTTCGACAAGTTTCTTCGGCAAATTTGTTTAACTTACATCTTTCTGTCTATGATAAATTTCCAAACTCCACCGTAAAACAAACAAACAAAAACAAGTCAGCCGTAAAATTAAAATAAAATCTCCGCCGTTTATGTTTTTCTGTTTAATTTGCTGATGGTGCAATAAACTCTGGGATACCGTCAGCCGTGTAGGATGCTCAGATGCAGTGTACGTTTTGGGGGTTTTGTTTTGCATGAGTAGACACCCACGAATCGGGACGGCCTACGGTGCGGGGCAGTGATGTAAGCGACCGACAAATGTGCCTCACGTTGGCTGCGATCCATGAATTGAGACACAGCCATTGTCCAAATTCAGGGTCTGCATCCTTTGAAGGTCCCGTCCTACCTGGTCTAYGTAGGCTAGGACCTTTATCGATGGTGACAACCGGAAGACAGTGGATGTGAGTTCGAACAGTCTAGCCTCTGACTTAGTATGTCCTGTCACCTAATTCCTGTATTTAACCAGGTAAAACTTAGCCTGGCCCTTGCCTTCCCACGTAGTTCCACTCATTTCTAGTTTCTCTTCACTGCTCCGTCTGGGATTTCTCCCATAGACAAGGATTTCTAAGGGAGAATTTCATTCGGGACAATCAGAGAACAGAACGTAGATGTTCTGCGCAGTGTCTGCTAGTTAGTTTAGCATACGGCAGTGGAGGAAGTGAATGAAGCCAGTCCGTGTTGATAAGGCTTCCAAATTAAATTAAACTTGTCTGACAAAGCAGCAACTCCTGAACTTGGTTCTGCTGGAGGTTTCTTCCTGATTAGCAGGGAGTTTTTCCTCCCCACTGTTTGCTCAGGATGGGAGACTGTGATGAAGTGATTCAACGCAGCCTGCTGGTTTCTTCTTTAGATTGCACAGTGCCCTGAGACAACGTATGTTGTGACTTGGCGCTAAATAAATAAACTGAATTGAATTGTGCTGTCATTTACAGCCGTCTCGTTCGGCTCGGTACTTCTCTCCTCTCAGTAGGGTTGTTTAAAGTGCACGCAATTTCCAGTTAGCTTCTTAGCTTAGCCCGATCCAATCATTTTAAACTTCAGCAGAGGCCACGCCTCCAGCAAGAATCGCTTCTCTATAGCCGAGAGTCCAGACCCTCGATCCAATCATTTTAAACTTCAGCAGAGGCCACGCCTCCAGCAAGAATTGCTTCTCTATAGCAGCGAGTCCAGACCCTCGTATGAAGCAAAGTGAAGGACAAGGGTCTGGTTTCTACCAGGCTAGATAAAACCCCACTGAGATGGAGATCTCATTTGCAAGAAGGACCTGGGCAGAATCTGCAACATTACAACCTGATTACAAAAACTAAAACAAATTAAAACATATACACAAGTTAAAAACATATTCTTCCTCTTGCTGTGTCTCTCACTTTGTTTACCATTAAAAGCAACAAAAAAACCCTCCCGGTCGGCCCGCAGTGCATCTTGGGATGGGATGAACTGAGGACACATTAGACTCCTCCCTCAAATCAAGGGAAAAGGGGGACACATTTGTGGGCCACGATTGGAGGAGCCCTTGAATTTGTGCATCGCTGTGACATCATCAGCCTTGGAATGATGCTGCCCCTGAATTCAAACACAACCAATGACTTGAAGTCACTTCTACAGCTACTGGGGTAAATGTGGTAGTAGCTGAGAGTTACCCTGAGCCAGATCTAACTAAGTCCCATGAAAGTGCTCATAACATAATTTACAAATTTTGACCAAAGCAGCTTTAAGTCCATCACTTCTCATCCTGAAATGATCTTTATTCTGAAACTCTGCCAGGAAGGCGGGCGGCGGGGGTATTAATTTAGTTAACCTTTCAAAAGAAATCTCATTTTGAAATTAATTGCTTTAATGTGTACCAGCTGTATTTGAACTGTACACTTCATTATGTGMTGAAATATTCACACAGAAACATTTGCATAATCGTGTATATTTAGCTTCATCGCTCACAAATCTCAGTAAGCTCCTCATTACGAACTGAGGCAACTTTTTCTTTTTTAACTCGTCAGAGTTTACCTCCAGYGTCACTGCTTTGCATTCAGACCAGACACGCCGACTGGAAGCGGCACATCTCAGTGCTCCTGTCTGATCTGTGGTTCTCAGCTGAGGCTGGTTCTTACAGAAGCCCTGTATATAGTAATGAGATGGCTGCTGATGGGTTCTATAAAGCAGAGCTGGGGTCTGCCCTTGAGACAATAGCTCAGAACAGCAGGCGTAATGACTATAGTTTTCACTTACACTGAGCCATCTCATGATTCAATCCTGTGCCAACTTTCTGTGTCTGTCTGTCTCCTTCCAGTAAGAGGATAATAAATCTGGGCCCCATTCATCCTGGCCCGGCCAGTCCCGATCCCCAGCCTGCCGGAGCCCGGGTCTCCTGTGGACACTGCAGCAACACCTTCTTGGTAATCTCTGCTCCAAAACACATTTATTTAGAATCAATTTCAATAAAAAAACTGTTCTAACAAGCAGCACTGCAGGACTTTAGCAAAATGTTAGCTCCACTAACCTCTAATCCGCTAAACAAGAATCTTAGTTCCACTAACAATAAATAAATAAAAAGAATTAGGGGAAGCTAACGCTAATCGCTAACCTCTAAAACATCTTCATCTGATTCCAGTTGAAAACTTGTGGGTTTAAGCAACAGCACGTTGTTATAAAGAGCATAAAATCTGATTTGCTCTGTGCAGAGCATAAAAAAAGAAAACAGTTTCAGGTTGGAATATACAGAAGAGTATTAGAACCACACAGTTCTGTGTTCGGATTTTAATCTGTGAGGAAAAAGACGTCTGAACTCAGTAAAAAACATGTTTTTGCTCTGTGGCCCTGATCCTGTTTTTTGTAGGAGTCGTTGATGTGGAAAAGTAAAAATAAAAAGCGCATAAAATGAGAATTGGAGTAAATTATGAAGGTTTTAATTGAGTTTTGTAAAATGTGTGTTTCATTAAATATGCCATTTATAGAAAATCAGTCATTTCCAATAATTTTACTTCAGATTAAAATCATTTCTGGGATCAAAGTTTGTAATTTTATAAATACCGTTTGACGTTAGTCATACAACAAATAGCAAATACATTCTCTACCAGATTTTATATGTAGTAAGTGTTTGTTTATATGCAGTATATATA